ACACGACGTCGCACAGAACCCCGACAGAACCTCGACAGAAAGTGGAAAGATCCGAGATCTTTTGAATTTTGGTTTCTTGAGAAAATGCAATTGCGCGATGAGGGTGATTCTGCATTTACCGCAAATGTGATCGCCAAATACGTATTGGGGAGCATTTCCCCATCGTTACCCATGGTTCCCGCGAGCATTCCTCTATCTGCGCATGTGCACGAGGCTCATTTCTACTACATTTACGGGATATTTTCGCTTGTGTGTGGACGTTCATTGCACTTGCTGTAAATTTGCAATTAAGGTAATGACGTTTGCGGAAACAAGTTTATTTTCGGTTTATTTTCGTAATGCCTCATTTCCACTTTTATTTTCGCTTTCTGGCCCACGTGTGATAACGTCCCTAAGGTGGTCCCTTCCTGTGTGCTGCCATCCAAGCTAATTTACTTGCATTCTGCAGTATTGCCCTCATATCTTTGCGAACAGAATGCAAAACTGACCAAACTGCAGACGTGGCTTTCAGTTAGCAAACTAGGTGCTTATTGTTGGACATTATGCATGAAGAAGCTTTGCAGAACTTGTGTCAACAGTTGAGCAGAGAACAAACCTTAGTTATACTCTTAAAATAACACAAAATGTGTTACTAAAAGCTTGTAAGCAGATGTTCCTAAAACAAGCCAACTTGAAAAATAACCTTTTGTTGTTAATAGATGTTTTAGAGCTAACATTGGATGGGGAGGGGTAGCTTTTTAAACATCATATGTAGGTAGCGGTGTTTTTAAGGTTCAGCTATGGAATTTCACTCTCTGAAGAGACAAGCTATTATTAAAAGCACAAGACCAGAAAAAGCCAGCTTTTGTCTGGTCAGTAATTTTTTTTCTAGAGCACCATTCACCAGGTATTTACTGGATATACTCATGTATAAGTCTAGAAATTTTAGTAAAAATATTGACCCCAAAACCTGGATCAACTTATCCATGGGTCAATGTAAGTCCTGTACTTTAAGTTTTATAAAATAGAGAACAATCTCTTGGTGAAAGGATACTCTGTCCTAGAAGCAATGAATCCCTTCTATTCTGTCATCCATCGTCCTTTAGTGTGAGCACAAATAATTATGTCTCCTGGAATTTTGTAAGTTCTTTTGCATTGTTTTCCTTTGTTTCATCCTTTAGATCAGCAGTCGGCAAACTACGGCCCACGGGCTGAACCTGGCCCGTCGAGGGCTTGGAACCGGCCCGTGGGCAGTCCTGCCGCCACCACCGAGCGCAGGTGATGTGGGGCGCCATTTTGCTTTCCAAAATGGTGCCCGTGCTCGCGCACGCATGTGCACGACGGCGGGAGTAGTGTGCAGGCGCGCGCCTCCAGCGCCATTTCCCCCTCTTCGGCCTGCCGACGATCGGGGGACAGCGGAACCGGCCCCAACACAAAAAGGTATGCGGACCCCTGCTTTAGATCTTTTGTTACAGGCACCTAGGTTTTATCCTCGACTTATCCACGGGTCATATCATAATCCATAATTTTGGTCCCAAAACCTACCCTCGACATGAGGTCGACTTATACATGAGGTCGACTTATAGTCGAGTATATACGGTATTGTACATCTTTTGTGTTACCCAGGCCCAACAATCTCTAAGGCCAGACCCCACAGAAAAGGTAAAATTGAGGCAAACACTTGGCAACCTTAACTTGAATGAATGCAAATAATTCCTTTCCACTCTTAGCAATTAGAAAGTAGCTCTAAAAAAATGCATTAAATTCATGGGGTCACTATATGTTGACAGGTGACTTGAAGGAACATACACACACATAAGTGAATTTGTGTTCTACCTAAATACCAAATGAAAGTAATGATTCCAGTAGATTTAAGCATGCGTTTTCTTTGAAAATTAACATATTGTCTACACACATAAATTATGTTTATTTTTATGAAGCCCTGCTACCTAAAAATAAAGGATTTTTATTTAATTTTTTTTGTTTTTGTTTTGCATCTTGTTCTGTCTATATAAAAGGAAAAGCTTTCCAGCTCTTAAACAAGAGAATTCCTTATAATAAGAGTCACCTGGAAAGCTACCCTAGATAGAGGCAAGATGTGGAACTGAAATCTTTGGGACTTCCAAAAGCTGAAAGGTGTTGCAAGTAGGCTACCCATCACTGCCTGGATTTCAGTCACTGTGACACAAATGAACTCAAAAGAACAACAAATTCATACCAGATGCTCAGATTCTCTGCTTTTAGAACAGGGGAAAGGAATCAAGTGGTCATCAAATATAGTGGGTCCTTGTTATCCACTAGGGTTTGGTTCCAGGACCCCCATGGATAACAAAATCCATGGATGCTCAAGTCCCATTAAATATAATGGCATAGCAAAATGGTGTCCCTTATATAAAATGGAAAATCAAGGTTTGCTATTTGGAATGTATACTTTTAAAAAATATTTTCAAGCCGTAGAATCAGTGGATAAGGAGGGCCGACTGTATAGTTGGACTGCTGGGCCTTGCAGTCCAATTGGGTCTGCAGGGCCACATGATTTCCATCCCAGTATTTGCGACAAACAAGCAGACTACTTTGGGAACCTTACATGATGCACAAGGAGGAAGGAGAGCCAAAGCAAGGTGGTGGTGGTGGTGGAGGAAGGCTATCCTAAGGAACAAGCAAACCCATTTGGGAACTCTACCTGTTGACAGCAGAGTAAAATGAAGTCTCACCTGGTCTCTGAAGGTACACACCTGCAGCTGCTGTCACCGCCACTGGAACTTCCGCATAAGGAGAGCCACATAGCAAACAGGTTTAGTGCTGGTGACCTTTATTCCCCCCTCCATCCCAACCCAAAGTAAACAGTGCAAGGAACACAACATGGGAAAGTGTATTTCCTTGGAAGCGCTTCTGGCCTTGCAGCCACTAGGCTGCACCGCAGTTCTTGGGATCTCCAAAAGCTGGCACAGTTTGCGATGCCAATCCAGGAGGGCAGGATGTGCATCAGATGGATAGTTGTGTGATCTGTCCTTTGTTGTTGTGTGCCTTCTAGTCATTTCCGACTTATGGCGACCCTAAGGCAAACCTATCATAGGGTTTTCTTGGAAAGTTTCTTCAGAGGGGGGTTTGCCATTGTCTTCCTCTGAGACTGAGAGATTGTGACTTGTCCAAGGTCACCCAGTGGGTTTCCATGGCTGAGCTGGGATTCAGGCTGTATCTGTAGACCGGTCCTATCCCCAGCCAAATGTCTTCTCTGATGTACAGAGTCTGAAATTCTGAACCAGGGAAAATATGTCTTCTGCCTATATAAATTAATTGCACATATTAAACAAATGCATAGATGGATTTCCTTCTTTGGCACAATTTATTCTGCTTATAATGGAGTGATAAGGAGGCAGCATGGCATAGTGGTTTGAGTGTTACACTACAATGTCGAAGACCAGGGTTCAAATCCCTGCTCAGCCATGAAAACCCAATGGGTGACCTTGGGGAAGTCACACTTTCTCAGCCTCAGAGGATGGTAATGGCAACTCCCCTCTGATGAAACATGCCAAGATAACACCATGATAGGGTTGCCTTAGGGTGGCCATAAGTCGGAAACAACTTGAAGGCAAACAACAACAAAGGATGCAACCATGCTACTTGGAAATCCCCCCCCCACTTTTTTTGTCTTCACATCTTTAATTATCAACTAGAAATTAGTGATTTTCTATATGAAAAAGACAATTTTCAGAGTTAGTCTCAAAGGTGCTACAAGATCCCTCTGCATACTGATTTTCTAGACTAACACTTTGAATTCTACCACCATTAATATTTCTTAGGGCTTGATCCTTTAGTACACTGCTGATAATTCAAAGTGGCTCTCCACTTGATGAAAAATCTGCAATTTGCAGAATATTAATTGAGGAAGCAATGTTATTTTCTAGTATCTCACTGTCTTTTCTTTGCTTCCAAAATGTCTACCTTTCTTTCTTTCTTTCTTTCTTTTCTGCACATCATGGCTTGTGGATAAAAGTAGCTCCATCATCAACAGTTTTCTTTTTTTAAGAAAAAGCCTTCAGGAAAGCACCCAAACTATCAACAAAACCCACTTGGAAGAAACCCTTTTCCCAAAGCAAAAGGCCATGGCTCCTCCTTTTTGCTTAGGAATGTTGCTTCAACTCCCTCCTAGAGCAAACAGTGGCCTCCTCCCAGGAATGTCTGGTTCTTTTTAAGAGGATTAATCCCTGGCAGTTTCTCTCTTCTAAAACTGAAAACAAGGGTGAGGAGAGACACCACTTTTCAGAAGATCTTGAAACAGAAAAAAGAATTAAACACATCCCAAGAGGTGCATGAAGATCCATCCTCCCAGACCCCCTGCAAACAAACAAGCAAAAATGCTGCAAGTAAATATAAGCAGCCATGGTGAGTAGTAGCTAAAAGAATTCTTCTCTTTGCAATTTTACCTGGGAATCCTGGGGGAAGCCTGATGTGTCCCCCCTGACCAAGAGTCCAAGTAAAAGTTTCTCTTGCTTAAGCTAAGATGGGCCTCCAAGGCTGTGAACCCCTTTCCAGGTCTCTTGCCAGCCACCTCCTGCCTGCATTCCTGAGCAGAAGGAAACTGAACTGATGCCAGATGGAAAGGAGAAAGATTAGAAAGTGGGCTGGCCAAGCAAGGGGGATTTGGGGTGGGGGCATGCTCAGCTGGGATGTGGAGATCAGCCTTCCCTCTGGGAGAAAGTGTCTGAACTACGTATCCCAGAGGGATGGAGCTAGCAATGGGGGCAGGGGGCAGGTTGAGCCCCTCTAAAATTAGGCAGCCCCTCCATAAGTGATGTGGCAGAATTGATGTTGTGTGCCATCTAGTTGTTTCCAAGTTATGGCAACTCTATCATAGGGTTTTGTTGACAAGTTTCTTGGAGGGGGGGGTATTTGCCATTGCCATCCTCTGAGTCTGAGAGAGTGTGACTTGCCCAAGAGAAGCCAGAGGGTTTCCATGCCTAGTTGGGAATTAAACCCTGGTCTCCAGAGTCGTAGTCCAACGCTCAAACCTCTACGCCACCGTGGTTCTCTGAGACAGAATTTGGCCTCCCAGAGTCCTGTGTAGTTGAGCATCCTCAGGAATTATCAGAAGCATGCTAAATGATCAAACATTAAGAAATATTAATGGTGGCAGAGTTCAAAGACCTAGCTGTGTTAGTTTGGAAAATTCGTATGCAAAGGGATTTTGTAGTACTTTTGACACTAATAACAGAAAGAAGCTGGTAGTATACAGTTGTCCCTCCTAGTTCGTGGACTTGGAGGGATGATTTCCAACATTGGGCAGCATTCTTGGTGCATTGGGCTTCCCCAGGATTCACTCTAATCCCTCTTTTGCTATTTAGTGTATAACCCAAACCAGTGGCATCACTACCCTTGGTGTCACCTGAAGTGAAGGGGCAGTGGCAGTGTCCTGTCCTTCCCCCTGCTGCCTCACTCACCTGTCCCCTTCCCTGGCACCTAGCCAGACCTTTGGAGAGCTGCCAGGTAGTGGCGTCAACACATTCCCCTGCCTTGCCTCCCCTCCTGCTGCCTCACTTGTTCTCACACTTGCTTGGCCGCCCACCCAGGGCAGCTGAGGGACAGCCGGGCAAGTGAGGCAGCGGGAGGGGACGGAAGGGCCACACTTGCCCCCAGTGGTATTGCCACTTGGGGTGTCATCCAGTGTGGGGGACAGGGCTTCTGGAGATAAAAGGGCACCTTCCACCTCCATGCCGCATGCCACTCCACACGTTAATAGAACAGCATGTGGTAGGGAGGGAGACTGGGCACACTTCCTGCCTGCCACATGCTGTTCACATGTAGAGCAGCATGTGGCGGAGGGGGGGGGGAGTGTGCCCAGCCCCCTTTCTCTGCTGCGGACTATTCTTGTCCCATGTAGAGTGGCACATGGCAGGGATGAGGGCTGGACACGTTCCCTTGCTGCCACGCACCACGCCAAGGTGGAGGTGTGCTCGGTTCCTTTGGTGCCATTGCGTCATTCTCATGATACTGTTCTCATGAGAAGAACGAGATGATGGCATCGAGGTGGGCCCCCCCGACCAGGTGTCACCCAGTGTGGTCTACACCCCCTGCACCCCCTTAGTGATGCCACTGCTTGCCCCCACTCCACTGCCCCAATTCCTCCTCAGGAGAAAAGCAGGCAGCAGAGGAGACTTGAGGGGTGAACATTTGCCTCCCTCCTCCTCCACTGGCCATCTACCTCCTCAGGAAGAGAGCTGGACAGAGATGAAGAGGCCAGCCCTGGGTGCAGTAACACTGGGCTGCATACATCCCCCCATAGAGGGAAGCAGTCCAACCAAGTGTCACCTTCTTCTGTCACCAGATGCGGTCTGCACCCCCCGCATCCTGCGTAGACACCACTGAACCAAACTATTAGAAGAGGTTCTTTGGTGCCTCTAGTTTGCTAGCATCACCAGGCTTTCTTTCTCCTTCCCATTTAACTCCAAGAACCTGTTCTGGTTCCAAACCTGCATCTGATGTTGGTAATGGATTAGATGAGAATGAACATATTGACGCCTAATCCAAATAAAACAGAGGTGTTCATGGCTAGTTGGGAGGCAGATCGGGTAACAGGGATTCGACCTGTCCTGGATAGAATCATAATCTCTTTGAAGACCATGGTTTGTGTCACCTTAACACAAAAATAAAGCTATTAAGATATCCTCCTTACATGTCCCGTAAGTGACCCAATTCAATAGTTTGGCCTCAGCGTTCTGAACTGGC